GTTTAAATATGGAAGTGGATTCTATTATGCGGGAATTTAGTTCAACACTCGACAAGCACTTGACGGAATTACTCCGAATATAAAATTTATTATGTACAGATTCTCCAACGTTTCGGATCAAGCTTGACCCGTCTTCAGGGAGCGACATATTACAGGTATGATGTTACAGTAATTGTTCGTATATATATATATATATATACAAACTTCACTGCGGAGGTTTCAGCCTTGAGAGTGAAAGTTGCCTGATGACTTCATTCTAATGCGCACCTAATTCCATACCGACGTCTCTATTCATGCATTGATTTGATTGTATTACCTGTGCTTCTTTAATCTTCCTGCTTAAAAAGTTTCGTCCTAGGTGTATTCTCTTCATATGGTCCCATAATATGCAGTGTTGTTCTTGTACTGCATGCTGCACAGCCGCCGAGTTCTTTTCGCATCCCTGCTTAAACATTTGCGGATCTTTCGATTCTATGTCAATCGCGTCAAGCAGGGGCAACATTCTATCATTTTCATTCACGATCATACAGCGAATATTCTCGAATTACGTCGAGAGGATGAATTCCCAGGTCAAAAATTCCAGCGAAATCACAGAGGATCTTCTCCAATTGAAAGCGAAAGAGGGAACAATTATGATCAGCAATGACGTCAAGCTATTGTTCACCAGCTAAGCTAACCACTCAAAAGAAATCTTCACACAGGTAAAAAAGAAGACCGAGGGTGATAGAGTTAGCAAAGAAGATCCAGCTGGCAGTCAAATCCATTGCCAGTATCTTGAAAATCTGTCTGGTGGACTATGGCTATCTCAGATCCCATGGCGAACTATACCAACAAGCCAACGGCTTACCTATGGGTTCTACGCTGTCACCAGTTGCACCGGAGTTTTCAATGGAACATCTAGAAACACTGAAATTCACAACCACCGAGAGAAAGATCTACCCTCATTGTTCAGAAGGTACGTTGATGATATATTCGCCATCTGTGAAAAAGATACAGGGATACCCTTCCATGATCAGCCTGTATTCAGGGAAAATCATATTCACGGCAGAAATGGAGCAACTTAATTCGATGCCTTACCTAGACGCACTTATTACGAGAAAGGGGAACAAGTACGTAACTGAGGTGCTTCAAAGGCCAATGCATACCAATAAATTTCTGCCGCTCAATTCGAACCACGCATATTGCATGAAGAAGAGCATCGCTAACACTTTAGCTAACAGATAATTCGAGCTGAGGTCTTCGAATTTTGAGCTCAGATGACAGTGGTATCCAAAACAAACTAGCCTCAATCTGAAGAGCCCTCAGAAACAGTGGCTACTCTAGAAGATTGATAGAAGAAGCAATCAGCAGTCAGCAAAGGAAGAGAATGAATGGAAGAACTAAAAGTGAAAAAGCAAATTTCAACAGTAGCACAGATACCAAATCTAAGTGAGAAGCTGCAGAGGATCGCCCGAAAGCGCGGAATACAGCTAACATTCAGAGCCTAAACAACATTGCGGGGCCAGCGGATGTAAGCCAAACTACCGAGCCGAAATCCTAACACCAATGCTAGATTTATAACACACACTGTGAGTTGGTCTTAATTACATAGGAGAAACCAGCAGCACAGTAGAAAATGAAGAAAGAGCACCTCAGTAACCTGACTATATGGCACAACGCCGATCAACGTCAGAATGGACAAACAGAAAGGCAAAAAGAACGAAAACAAACGAAATATCCGCAGATGGAGAAGCAGGAATGCGAAAA